ATAAAATAATTAATATTATAATTAATAAAATAATTAATTCAATTTAATTAAATTTAAGACTTCTTTGAAAATAGTCTTTAATTTTCGAAATATACGGAAGAATGATTTGAGGATTATTGAGTTTCAGCTACTTTTTGCTGGGATTGTACATACAAAACATCCTTAATTTTTGCAAAAGAAATGAAAGGGGAATGCGACGACTATCGGTAGAAAATAAATGACTGTAAAATTATGAAATTTTTAAAATTCGAAACGTTATCGTTTCGTCGGATGTCGAGGAAAGGATGTTACTGGCCGGTGCATCGGCCGAGGGAAGAACGAAGATCAATTCGCGCGCACTTTGCGCAGACAGCTGATTACCCGCATCCTGATTATCGAACCTAACCAGGGAACACACAAGCCTGCCCGCTGCAAACAGATCCGTTCGTGTTCACGTCCATGTTAGCCGAAACCTCGATCTCGTGATGGACCACAGAAAGCTTCGCTATTAATCTAGATTAATCTAGATTTCATTTTCCCGAATTTATCGAAAGACACCCTACCGCAGGCTACATCGAACTTTACGATTATATGCGAACCATAAAAGGTGAGAGGGGAACGGAAGAGTGATATATTCGCATATTTCGACGTATATTTCGGTGCACCTCGATGAATTCGGCTGTTCTACTCCGGCATGCTTGGCGTGCTCCGCGTTCTCTGGTTTACTCCAACAGTCTCTCTCTCTTTCTCTGTCTCTATCTCTCTCTCTCCCTTTCTCTCTCTCTCTCTCTCTCTCTCTCGCTCTCGCTCTCTCGCTCTCTCTCTCTCTCTCGACGACGTAATCAATATATCGTGTTGCTGAGACCTTCCCGCGTCGTCGGCAGAGTAGGTTTAGGCATGGCTTTTCAGGTGTAGCCAGACAGACGCGGCAATTCAGGCTAGATATGTATCGCGCGCTCATACACGCGAGCACACCGCGGATATCTCCGTGCTAATTAATATCTCGGACAGCATCTCCTGCATCGCGAGAGCGGCTGCTGCCGCTTAACGTCGTCGGCTGTTTAACGCGAGGTCGAACGGAATCGATCCGATCGCCGGTTTTTAAATAGATGCTCGAGGCTATTCCGTTCTAATAAAAATATTCCTTATGCGAGAGAGAGGTCCGGCGTGTAAATTTGATATTTCTCCTGTTAACCGCACAGCTCTTTTAAACATTTGAATTGGATAAAAAAAAAAATTCAGAAAAAATATCTCGAGAGAAACGAATCGAATATTTATTTATATCTAGTTATTTTTTTAAGTAACGTTTTCTTTTAGCTTGCCCTTCTTTAAGCATTTATTTGACATTTCTGTAGAGGAAGAGAATAATTTTGAATTAAATCGAAAAAAATTTCTGTAATAAAAAAATGTTTGATGTTGCATTTTTTACATCTTGTACGTGGAAGCATAAATTAGTAGCAAAGCGGATTGTTTATGTGATTCGGGAAAGTATTGATCTTGCTTTATCTCGTATAAATTCATTATCGGGTATTATATATCGATATGCTCGTTAAGCTTAATAAATGTAAAACAGACGAGGATAATGAAAGGGAGATACTTAATAAAAATAAAATAAATTTCTATATTTATTAAAAAAATTAATTTATTTAGTAATAATTCCTTCAACCTATCGGTTCATTTACTACCTCATCGTTCGTTAATTTTAGTTAAATTTCCCGAGAAATTCCAACAGAGAGAGGGAGAGAAAAATTTTATTCATCATATACCGAAATTTGACGAGAAATTTTTATAGAGAAATCAAAGTGATTTTAAAAAGATTTTACTCGCGATTCTTGATTTCATATTTAAACGTCATGCAAATATGAAGAAAACTTTTTATTCTCTTTCCTCCTTCTTTTTTTGGTAGCCACTAGTTATTCTTGAAAATTTAAAAATAATTTTGCTTAAAATCACCATTCTTAATTCATTCGCTTTCTTTCTGTAGACCTTTCCACCGATTGCGGCTGAATGCGATCGCTGCGATGACGGTGCGCAACTAATCAGTCCATAAATGACATCCGTTTTGCCTCACTCGTGTCGGACGAGACGACGCGACGCCGAGAGGCATCGGGCCTTAATTATACGGCCGGTTTGCGATGGGCACACGAGAAGGCGTCTGTTTTCCCGAGGCAATAAATTGTCCCCGTAATTGTTCCGCAGCTTTTCGAAAAGTCGGGCTTCATCGAAAATCTATAGTTTGCTTTCCGACCGAAAATCCATCCTTTTCCTACAGTGATTATATTCCTCAAGATCAATATTGACAATCGGATCGGACCATTATCTGTGGCGAGCATTGTCTAAAGGCGAGATATTGCAAAGAGTGACGTGTAATTAAATGCTTTCAGCTGCATCGTAAATATTACGTGATATTGATTTTTAAGAGGATTAATTTTGCACATTTCAGAGCGTAAAATGAAAAATTCACGAGATAAGACTTTGGAGTGTTTTTAAATAATACATTTATATCATTTCGTGCGTTTCTCATGAATTAATGATGTGACTATTCGTAAAAATAAGGAAAATGAGGTCGCCGCGTAAATGGTGCAACGTAATAAATTTCCAATAATTGGATTAATAACTGCCATAAAATTATTATACGTTACAATGAGATGAGCATTTATTTAACAATCATCAGGAAACCACGGAAGCGATATAATCATTACTTTTATCATGGCCGGGAAATTAGCGGCTACCTATTTAGATGTTTGATGCTAGGGAGATTAACGAACTTTATTATACTATAACAATGTACGTTTTCATCTATGGAGGACTTTTCACCGATTTTCGGACAGATTACAGTAGGGCTTACATTGTTCCCCTTTGCCTTCCTTCTCCCCGATATTCGCATCCGGAGACTTCATTATCAGTTTTTCGTGCGTTATGGCTTTAATTACCTTCCCTTATACTCGCGGCTTATTACGTTTCCTGCAGTACGAGGACGGTTTGAAAAGTCCGTGCAAAGTCGGAGAGATGGCAACACTGGGATGCATCGAGGTTATTTTCAGTTAGCAGCATCTCTTCTGGAAGAACACACATCAAGTTTCAGCCAGATCGGTCTATTTATCTGTGTTTGACGTTTGTTTGAGTCGAGGAAGTCGAGTGATTTCCAAAAAATGAATGAAAGAGAATTTCGCCGCAAAATTGATGGAGTTGAGGTCCCAACTCGATCCTCATCCCGCCTATTCCCCAGATTTGGCTCCCTCGGACTACTACGAGGTGGGTTCAAAAAAAAGGTGACTTTTCATTTTTCTCGAAAAATATTTATTTATTCATCAATATCTATTTTGTCCCCTTTAACGTTTTTTTGCTCAGAGTAGGCTCGCCAAATGCCGCAGTCAACATTTCAAGTACGTCAGAGCACTTAATTTTATTTTTCACACAAAATTTAATACAGAACATAAAGATCGTATTGCTGGAAGAGCTCGAGACTATACCAAAAAGCGCATATCAAAAGTGCTTCGAGGATTGGAAAAAGCGCTGGCACAAGTGTATAATATTTGAGGGGGATTACTTTGAAGGGGACAAAATAGATATTGATGAATAAATAAATATTTTTCGAGAAAAATAAAAAGTCACCTTTTTTTTTTAATATACCTTGTACTTGTTCCCCGATATGAAGAAATGGCTGGTGGGAAGGTGATTTTATTCAAACGAAGAGGTAATTGCGGAAACGAATGCCTCTTGCAGAGCTGAACCAATCCTATTATCGGAAGGGATCAACAAACTGGAGCAGCATTGGACGAAGTGTATAAGCCTAAAGGAGATTACGGTGAAAAATAAAAAAGGTTTATCCCGAAAAATTAAGTAGTTTTAGGTTAGGTAAGTTAAGGTTAAGCAGTTTTTATTTTTGCACGGACTTTTCAAACCATCCTCGTATAATATAACGCGGTCGTAATCCCGTTTGCCATAGACTTAGCGTAGTATCGTCCAAATTATGGTGCGTTACACACAGTAGCAGGCAGCTTCGTTGGATTGTACCGTGTTTCTCCGTCCGGAATGGACTGTAAATAAGACTGGTTTAAGTTATGGCAGTTACCTCTCGCGCTACCTCGGTTAAGTTTATTTCAACGCTGATTAATGTAGGACCACAGTCACAGTCGCAGCCGCTTCGAAAACGACCTTGTCGGGATGGAAATGGGGATCGCAAAAGCCGGTTGTAATTTCGCCAGATTTTGATAGGACGTATCGAGAAGAAGAAGAAGAAGAAGAGGGGGATGATCTCACGACGTTTATTCGCGCCAATTCGACGGGAGGTACGGAGTCTACAATCTGGAAAATTAAACTCGTCGACATTGTACGTGGAATTCGGATTCGTAAGCTGGAGGCGAGATAAACGAAGGAACCCCCCCAGCAAAACTCTCTCGCACACAGGATAACCCGGGCCCGCGCTCCCGTCGTAAATCGATACGTCAGGTGTGAATTGCGACGCGTCGCAGCGTCGTGACGGTGGCGGCTTTTATTTTTAATAGGGGTTGTTTGCATGCGTGTCCACGGAGCGGAAGCGCTAAATTCGCGCGATAAGCACACTAACACGCCTATCGATTGCCCCGACCGAAGGGAAAAAGACGGTCATAAGCGGTGAGATAAAAAAAAAAGAAGAACGAGGTGACAACAGAAGTCGGCAGAAGGGTCAGAATAACGCAGAAGGACGCAGGGCAATAGGTGCAATAGGTCATCGCAAGAGGAGAGGGGAAGGGAGGGGACTAGAGGCAGGGAACCAGGGAAACCAGCAGTTCAATGAAAGTCATCGTAAACGGAAGGAGAACGGAGAGCAAAACGGGACACAGAGGGATCAGAGAGACAGAGAGAGATAGATAGATAGAGAGAGAGAGAGAGAGAGAGAAAGAGAGAGAGAGAGAGGGAGGGAGGGAGAGGGAGAGAGGGTGAGAGAGAGAGAGAGAGAGAGAGAGAGAGAGAGAGAGAGAGAACGGGGGTGGAAGGCACCATGTCGATGTCGCTGGAGAAAGATAGCAAGAAAGAGAACGCCAGAGAGTTTGCGCAAGCTTCGACCCGCCGCAGCTCCGATCGGCGGACGTTAAGCCGCCAGCCACACGTTTCGAGCTTTCGTTCCGACCAGCAGTTGACTCGCAGCCAGGCTTGCAGCCTGACTGAAGCACGGCAGTGCTTTTCTTCTCGTGCCGTGTGTACCCTCTCGCCTCTCTCTTTTTTTTTTCTTCCCTTCTCGCGCGGTTCTCCTTCCCTCCCTTATTTTCGTCCGAATACACTCTCTTTGATCTCCTCGAGAGTCTCGATCGCACGCACTGTGTTATGACGCGCCGATGATCTACGCGCTGCTTCCAGCAGCAGCATCAGCGACGACAGTGCTCGTGTCCGACTGAAATCATCGTCCCTAGAAGTGGCTGCTGGTCGCCTCTTCGGGGGATCCCCGAGTCGCGCGAGCAGCATCCTCGGACGGGACGTTCGTCGGTGGTTCTATGTGAGCCAGTGCGCAGTCAAGAACCGTGGAGGAAACTGTGCCGGACGACGTCGTGGTCGATACGTGGCCAAGGATGATGACTATGATATAAATCCGACCTCCAAGGATCCGCTCGGAAGGACTCTTACGATCCTCCCTTGGAAATCCTCGCTTGATCTCATGAGAGAGAAGATGGCATTCTCGATGGGACCCGCGTGGAGGATATCGCGTCGGTGATTTCGATCGGCAGCGAGGATCCAGCTCTCTTGAAGAGAGATCAGTAATCAGGGAGCATGAAGGTGTGATTGTAAAGGTGCGTGGTTGAAAGTGCATGCTCCTTTCATCAAGGATAATGGCAAAATTATCCTCCTTATTCGTTATCGTAGATTCTTTTTCCGAGAAAATATTTTTATTGCCTCTTGAAAGGATTTAATTCAGATTATTCTCGAAGAAGAAATTGCGTTGCTTTATTATTTAACCTTGAAATTCTTGATGCCGTTTCCCTCTCGAGTCTGCAGAAAAATTTCACGCGTTACAGATATCATTAATTCTATTAAAATTTAAAAATTGAAAGGAAAAAAAAATTTTCTTTTTGATTTTTTAATTATTTGAGCCAAGTCTCTAATTATTAAATCTATTAAAATTGAATATAATTTTAGTATTAGATAAATTTCCTCTTTGCAAATAAGAAAATGTAACGTAGAAAGAGATGAAAAATTTCCGAATCCTTGCTGGATTTCTACCGTTGCTGCAATCGCGACTAATCGTCCGAAAATAGCACCCTTGTCAAATATGCAACCCATACATCCGAACGTGTTTTCGGTACAGTTCGGGAGAGTAATACGAAATAATCAGGGTCGGGGGCGAAATATCGGTAAATTGGAAAAACATCGCTCGACGATTCCGCAAAATTGTAGCGTCGTTGCTTGTTTTTGCTCCCGCGAAACGCGCGTCCAGAATACACGCGTTCGTAATCAACGCGATCTAAATTGCTGATGCGCTAACCGAGCGCAGTTCATTTGACATTTTTGGCACGCGTCTACCTTTATTCGATTCGCGTACGCCGGCAGAATCTGAAAATTCGCGAACGCATTGATCTCTCTGACAGCAGGATGACCCGAAAGAGGCGAGTTCATCGATAATAAAAGCTCTCGCGACCTTGGCCCTTTGAATTTCGAAAGCCGACGCTATTCATAATCCGGGAAGGGAGATTTATCGATATCTTTGCGTTGAGAAAACGATCTCTGAATTGCTGAAGATCGTATATACGTGCAAATATGTATCGGAAAAAAATATCGCAAAATATTCGAGAGACGAGACAATGAATACGACGCAAGAATGCAAAAGGAGACGAGCGATGGAGAAGAGTGGAGGCGGGGGAGAGAAAGGGGTTAAAGAGGAGGAGGAGGAAAACGTCGGTGAATGAAAAGGGAGAGCGCAGAGGGAGAGAAAATTCCGGAGGTGAAGTACTCTGTTGTCGATAGCGGAGTCAACGCGGATTTAACCAATTATCACCCCGCTCTCTCGACATGGACGTACGAACGAGGCCCTTCCGGCATATGCTCGACCCATCTGGCAAACCATGCGGTGTCCCTTATTGTCCTTTGGGGAAATGATAACGCGATGCGTCCGTACTTGCGCCAGTATTTCATCAAGCGCAACTCATGTTATGGAGATATTACTCTCGGGAAGCGGGGACCGTGAGAAATTTTTCCAAATTTCAAAATTATTTCAAATAATTTCTCCCTCAAAGCCACAAATTTTTACGAAAAGAATTAATATCTGAAATGGGAAACACTTGAATGCTACATCTTTCGTCGAAAGATTTTAACGATGCAACGGAACAAAAGAGGCTGTAAACATATTTCTTCTCGTATAAAATGATACTTTCGATGAATTTGTAGGAATATAATATCTTTTAATATTTCTTTTTTAATGCAACGTAATAAAAAAATCATCAACAAATAATAGATATTTTATTTTATGTACGAACGATTTTTCTACATGTGTGTGTACCTAGGTAGTTTTCGACGGGGGAAGCAAATGGAGATAAGAGGAGAAGTAGCGGAGGTATTTTGACAGCCTCGGCACTTGTCCCGGGAATGCTTCGAATGCCTGTGCCGGTACTCCTCGGTAGCTGGGGCTGGGGATTTTTCGCCATATTCCTCCTGCTTCTGGCCACCCCCAGTCCCGCTGCCATTCGCAGAGGTAAGTCTAATCCGGGGGCTTGTGTGAGAAACCGGGGAATATAATACCGACGAGTTCAAATTTCCAGGCCAGCGATAAGCGAAAAAGAACGATCCTCTATATTTATTCCCGGCAAACGCAATCCGACACTGCAATCATTTCCGGCGAATCTAACAATTTTGCAACATCGACGAATAATTATCGATTTTTGCACTGAGAAAAAAATCTGATTGCATTAATTAGAATTCTGGTAGATTCAACCAGTATGTCTGTTGGAAAATGGACGAACCAGAATTCTTGTAGGAATTACCAGATGAATCTGATTAATTTCTTCCTGTTAAATTTACCAAATTTTCTGATTAATAATTAATATATGATTAATTAATATATGATTAGTTTAATAATATTTATCACACGCTTTAATATTTTAAAATTTATTGAATTTAATTTATAGGAATTCTTAGTAGTATGTGTAATAATATACTTAATTTTAAAATATAAAATATTTTAAATTTATCAATGAAAATACTTTGAGGATATAAATTTTGCGATTATTTTTTAATTTCTAAATGCTAGCCTCTCACAAAATTTTTTTCCGTATCGTGATAAATTATTTTTCTAACAAATTTAAATTTAAAAAATTTGAATTTATCAATTCTAAATTTTTAATTGGCGCACTGAGAAAAAAATCTGGTTGCATTAATTAGAATTCTGGTAGATTCAACCAGTATGTCTGTTGGAAAATGGACAAACCAGAATTCTTGTAGGAATTACCAGATAAATCTGATTAATTTCTCCCTGTTAAATTTACCAAATTTTCTGGTTAATAATACTAAATTCATCAGCACCAAGTCGTCTAAAATTTTTTCCATCTAATCTCAAAAGTCTGTTTAATATTCTGAATTCCAACACGATTATTGGATAAATTCAATCCAGATTATTAAATTATTTTAAGTTCAGTTTGTTAGAAATTAAACTGATAAACAATAATGTAAGAAGAGGATGCAGCTCAAACACACAATCAGAGAGCTAGCGTCCTCTTTCTGGCACTACTGCTCGTAAGAGAAAAAAAATATACTTTGGATTTAATATTAATACTAGTTCTTTATATACATTTCATGGCAAATATTAAATACGAGTTAAGTTAAGAGTGGCTCGTCGCCTATTGGCAAGCAAAGAAATGAATAACAAGAAACTTTATAGATCCAACCAGAAAATACTAACCAAATCCTTATAGTAAAATCTATTAAACGTTCTAGTTATAAAAAATCGAGTCTTATCATGATAACTAGAAATTCTGGTTTGATTTAACCAAAATGCCTTCAATCATATACATCTTGTTGATGCAATCAAACGATTTTTCTCAGTGTGATTAATGAAAATTATGCGAATCATCTCGGAAAATATTTGAATTACAGATAATAAAAGAAAAAGAATGATTTTTTCTAATACATATAAATATAATAAAAATAATAAAATAAAATAAATATAAAAAGTGCAGCGATTCTTTATAAACATGTATCGCTGCGACTTTCTTGATTGACACTTTATTTTTCCGTATCCGTAACATATGATACAAGTAATACGATGTAATAGTTATCGAGGATAATCCTCCGCAGTTATTCCGCTTTCAATCTCTAATTCGATCTAGGGGATAAAATTTGATCCTCTTGCCACACGGGAAAGTTTCATTTAGGGCGAGTGGTATCGCTCCCCATCTCGAAAGACTAGACGGGCACTCGAATCCGATGATACGCGGTTTAACAAAGACCCATCTCGGCAGTTACTTATCCCCTATTTACTAGCAATTATCGCACGGTTAATAGGTCGAGTTATCGATGTAACAACTCGATCTCTCTGAATCTTAACCATCGCATTAGAGTGATTTGCTTGCCCTAAATGTTGGCGGCGGTCACACGAACCAAGGGTTGATATTTTGCAGAAAGGTGATTTACGAACGAGAGGTAGCCGGATTATATGTAACACGAGAGACTGCCTCTTTATAAGAGGTATCTAGCGAACGGGTCGAATATCGATTACACGGCCGAAACTTGTGTCGCGTGTTGTCGTTCCTTACTCTCTGCCGTGTCCTCTTTATCGTCCCCTTTGGAGTTCTCCGTATCCCATCCAATCGGGTCAACGGAAAATATCATGGCTCTAATATAGGGTATCTCACGACTTTTTCACGACTTTAGACTCGATAAAAGATTCTTCGACTAACCGATTTTTTTTTAACAAAAATCTCACAAAAATATCGCGAGAGATTATTTGATTTATTCCTGTTTTCTGAATGAAAATTCGCTATAAAAAAATCCCCACTTTAAAAGAATTAAAGAATTTTTTTATTTTCTTTTCCGGAAGCTCAATTTCAATAATTTTGTGAGCGGAAATATTCTTTATATCTTAATTATTGAATCTATCGTGTCTCTCTCTCATTTTTATTTACTAAAATTCAAGTTATCTCTCATATTATGCTAAAATATAATCGATAAAAAAATTTCTGCTTATTATTGGATTAATTAATGTTGAGTTTAAGATATATCGATGCGCGAAATATGAAAGAGAGGGCACGTGCCCCTTCTTTCTTGCTCTGACCGATTCTATTTCAGCGGACCGAGGCCACTGCAATAAAACGGTGGATATCTATGAAGATGTGTCGAGTCCGGCGGTGACCCCAGCGAATTGGGGTAAGCCCCTCTCTTGCTGGTACCGCTTCCGTGCCTTTCGCGGGACGCCCCGGGACTGGATTCTGCGAGTACGCTTCAAGAAGTTTAAGGTCGGGGTGCTGGAAAACGCCACCACGTGCAGCGGCGGTTATCTGCAGGTGAGCAGATTCGCTTTGCGAATCCCTCGTTGTCTAAGGAAGAGACACCTAAGATCCTAATTTCACAACGGCATGCATCCTGAATGGCACAACCGAACTCGTCTTTCTGCTTCTCCCCCTCTCTCTCTCTCTCTCTTTTTCGACCCGCGTTTCTATTAATTGAATAGGGAGAATCCAGCCAATTAGCCGAACGTTGGAATTTAATTTCGGTTCGACAATAGCATTCCCCGATTATTCTTTCTATTCGAGTTGGACTCAGCCGGGAAGAGGCGGAGAGATGCTGATGATGCTCGTGTCTCTTTGCATCGCGTCGCGAATCAATGCGTGCAAATACAGTAGGATCCGCATACAATACGACGGAAACGGATATCAAATCCATGAGTTACGCAATCGCGGTCACGATGGATGATAGATCGAATGCTGAAATTGATTACGCTTGGCGATGTGTCATTAAATCGATTTTATCACTGAGCGGAGAGAATGCAGAATCTATTTATATTAAAATAAATTAGATATCTATGAAGGGAACTAAATACAAAAAGATGAAAAATTCACTGATAGATTATGTAGACTTGTCAACGTTCTTCATTTTTTTCTTTAGAACCAATTTAGACTTCGTTCCACTTAATGATTGCGAAACTCGTAAACATGATGTGTCTTTGTTTAACTTTTAGCGAACAACAAAGATAAGATGATTCTGCGAGCGTTGCGATCGTTATGTGGAACACAGCCTTAATAACTCAGGCTGCGGTCGGGAAGACGTTCTAGATGCTTTGAAGCATTTGACTAACCAATCAGGACAAAAGAAGTAAGGAATTTTTAAATCTGATTGACCAATCAAACGCTTTAAAGCATCCAGAGCGTCTCCCTGACCGTAGTCTTAGGTCCGTTCTATTATTTCAAAAATAATCAACCATGATTGGACAATTTGCCTACGACTTTCGACTTACGACTCATTGTAGAATTGGGCCTTAATTACATGGATTAAACAAAGCTTAGGTTAGGTTTTCATTTGACGCTCGACGCTCATTTTCCAGCTTCAGAAGACATTACGTGATTAAAAATAAAGATAACAATTCGTTATTTTTTGATCACGTGATGTCTCTTGAATGAGCGTCGAGCGTCAAATGGAAATTTATCCTTAAGATTTAAAATAAGAGAGGATATTTTCAATATATCATTTCAAAATCGTCTCGCAAGGTCATCTTTTATTTAACATAAATCGCATGCATTTTGCAGATATCGAGGAAATAATTTACGGGCTTGTTACGTTGTATACTATAAAAAGGATACAACGGATCGGTTTTATATTAAGAACAAAATTATCGGCGACGGATGAGAAGATTCCCTTCTAGATTTAGCTTCTGCGTTGGAACAGATGCAGCCGTATCAACATCGCGAATTGGAACATTGCCGTATAGAGAGACGAACGTGATAAGTGATTCTCTCCCCTTTCTCCGTTTTGCCCTCTACCTGCCTCTTTCGAGCGCGCGCGGGCGCACTCGTCCTGCTGCCACCTCTCTCAGTTACTTCGGTATCAGGTATTGATCTTTGTGACGCTGTAAACCTCTCTCTTCTTCTCTCCTTTCTCTCTCTCTCTCTCTCTCTTTCTCTTCCTGCCTCTCTATTCTCCTCCGTATTTTCCCTCCGTTTCTTTCGCGACTTTCAAATTTACATCGATAAAAAAGATGTAAAGTCAATAGAAAGATGCGTTTCCCTTTTGCACAAGATTGCGAGTTTCGAGAAAGCGAAACGTGCATCTTTGCAGACCGATTATCTTCCATGATTATTCTTTGTACAAGTTTCTATTATTCTTTTAAGTTTGCTGATTGATTAAGTTTCTATCGCATTTTTGCACAAATTGTCTCTCACACATTTCTATTAATTTCTTTCAATTTGATTTTCGCATCATTGCTATTTGTATCAGACTTGCCTGCTATAAATGATTAAATCTTAAACTTTTTGATTGATCATGAAAAATTCACGAGTCCCTTCAGAGAATTAATCTACCGTGATGTATAAGGAGTTCTTAGTTACAGAATAAATATTTCATCAATTGCATATATATTTGTTGAGATTATTATATAGAATTATACTTTCCTCGCGACAAAAAGTTCTAGTCCAAAAACTCTAGTTCTAAAAAACCTAACCTAAAAAATGGGACAAACTGGATTATCGAGTCCTGGATTGTCAACGTGACATCCTTTATGTTCGATCGATTTTGCACCTTGTATACCTAGCGCGCGTTTTCTGCCGCTCCGTGTTTCAGATCATAGACGGCAATACAAAGACCGAGGTGAGCAATCGCAAGGACCCGGGCGTTTACTGCGGCGAGTCCGAACAACCGCAGACCTTCATTAGCGAGACCAGCTTTGTACGAGTGATCTTTCACGCGGACAACTTTACCGATCAGACGTACTTTAGCTTCGATTCCCGCGCCGAACAACAGTTCGAGGTGTATCTGAGATATGGTCAGCATCCCGAGCTCTATCCGAACCGTCGCGGCGAGATCGTGCCTGGCAGCTACTGCGAGCGCGTGTTCAAGGACTGCCGATTGCAGACATGCTATGTACAGAGCCCGGCTTACCCGGGCATCTATCCCCGCGCATTGCACTGCAAGTATCGTTTAAACACCCGGCTACCCTTTATCAAACTCTATATTGAGAACGAGGAGTTTAATATCGATGGTCAGCGATGCGAGAACATCATGACGTGCCCGATGCGACCGATCAGCTCCGGCTCGGAACATTGCCCGTACGATTACATACGCGTATATGACGGTAAGAACGAGAGTAGCCCGGTGATCGGTACCTTCTGCGGCATGGGCAAGTTCCCGTACAGTATTATCGGCACCAGCGAAGACCTGTACGTGGAGTTTGTGTCTTCGCCGGCCGGTCCACTGCTCAACACCGGCTTTCACTTTAACGTGGGTAACTGGCCAGGTCACGTGGAGACCGCTGGCGTGAAGAATGGCAGTTGCGACTGGTTATTAAACAGCGAGTCCCTCGTCAGTGGTAACGAAGGTATTTTCCTGTCGGTCGCGCATTGGTATCCGCCGCACACCAGCTGCACTTACTTGTTACGCGGACGACCCGGTGAGATCGCCCGCCTCTACTTTCCCAGCTTCCGGGTGAATCGAATCGAGTCGCCGATCCAGCCGTACGATGGTGACTGCGGCGAGAGCTTGACGCTCTACGATGCCGACTGGCCAGACGACGCGCGTATCATCAAAACTTTCTGCGACACGTTCAGCAAACCGATGGAGAAGCACGATTTCGTGTCGACGTCGAACGCGCTGTTTGTGCGATTCGAGAGCAAGACCGGAAGCTACTCCGGTAGCTCGCTCTACTACTGGGCCCATTACGACTTCTTCAACGCTACGAGATTCGGCGAGCCCGTAACTGGCACCGAGTGCGACGAGATCTTTGCCTCGTGGAAGTCGCGATCGGGTCGATTGCGATCGCCTCTGAACACTCTAGTTTACAAGAGACCCGGTGACCCACCCGCCGATTTATCTTGCACCTACAGCTTCGTCACCGACAAGCGATTGTACGCGAGAGTAATCCTCGTTATTGAATCAATCAACTTCAAGGAACACCCGTATGCCCAGTGTGGCCACTGCTGGGACAGCCGGGTGGATCGCGTGATAATTCGAGAGCCGATTCCCGATAGTATCAAAGGCCACTGTCTTTGTCGTTCCAACAACAACGGTACTCCGGCGCCAACGACTTCACCGCCTGCCCCTCGGCCGCCTATTCTTCGAGTAGTCTCCCGAGGCGAGAGACTGGACCTGAAACTTCTCGTAGACGGTACTCACGCGGCCTCGAGCTATTTCAAGTGGCCCGCGCCACTCTTCGAGGCGAGATACGAGTTCGCGCACAGTCCTTTATGCGGACCGGCCCTTCTACCGGCCAGTACCGATGGTGAAATCGAGTTTCCGCATTACGAAGCTTTGGGGTACGTTACGCCACCCCGGTCGATCAAGTGTATCTGGGAGTTACGGGTGAACCGCGAACGCGATCTCTGGCTACACTTTGACAAGATCAAATTCGCGTCGCGCTCCTGCGAGGACGGCAAGCTCGAGATCTTCCTTCCGGGCAACATCGAGCCGTATCTCGGCATCTGTGGCGAGAACGTCAGCTATGTCAGAGAGATGCCGATTATATCTGCGGCGCAGATCGCACCGTCGTCGACGGATCATCTGGCACCTGCGGCCGCCGACGGCGGCGAGGAATCTCCCGCTGTCATCGTGCAATTCACCGGATCTTTGGCACCCGCCAGGGTGGCCTTCAAGATCGCCTGGACCGAGCTCTATCATCTGCCCCGGGACGGTTCCGGAGCCCTCAACACCGGCAAAGTCCACGAGGACTGCGGTTTCCAGTGTCCCGGCGACGCGGGATGCATCCCGACGAGATTATTGTGTAATGGCGTGGTCAATTGTCCCAGTCGTGGATTGCCTATACCTTTGGGTATCCTGAATGGCACTCTCTACGAGCCGGATGATGAATCGGTGGAGACGTGCGGGGGACCCATTAATGGCAACGGTGGCGGTTTTGCCGGACCCGCCGGCTGGGCCGGTGCTGGTCTAGGTGCCGGTCTGGCCATTCTCTTGGGTCTGGCGTGTTTCATCGCCATGTGCAGGCTTTGCAGAAGACGATCGCGCTCCAGGGACATACATGTGCCCTACTGAAATTCTCTGGACGCGATCGACCCTCTGCAAGTATTCACGCACGATCAAGAAGAACATAGAAGTCGTATTCATAGTCGTTTCTCAAGGAATCAATCTTTCTCGCTCTTTTATACATGTACGTACATGTTTGTATACGCGTAAGTGTATAAATGAGAAGAAAGAGATCTTTATTTCTCTCTTCGAGAAGCGAAAATGAATAAATAAGAACGATAAGAGACATCTGCGTGACGTCTTAAGTTTTTAGACATCGCTTAGACGTCTTTGAGGAGATTGCATTAACACTCTTTCGATATATAACTAACTTCAGTTCACTCAACTCTTTCGATATATAACTAACTTCAGTTCAGTCGACTCTTTCGATATATAGCTAACTTCAGTTGAATCGACTCTGTCGATATATAACTAACTTTAGTTATAAATACATTCTTTTCCAACATTATTGTAGGTAAGACTGTAATCTCTCGAGAGAAATAACAAATTTATAAGAAAATCCAAGCTTATTCAAGTTGATGCAATCATGTCTTCTAGGCTTCTATATTTTTCAGGAGACGAATTACGAAACATTCTCTTTTTCCACATTTGCCGAGGTAAGAGAGAGAGAGAGAGAAAGAGAGAGAGAGAGAGAGAGAGAGAGAAAGAGAAAGAGAGAGAGAGAGAGACGTTTTCCAAATTCCAACGACAAATCCGACATTACGCTTACGAGTAATCTTTCCAATGTGATGCTTCCGGATTTAACAAACATCGAGTTTGCTCATTAATCGCGAAAGATTGAATCTTATCGTTCTATTGAGGTGGCCGTGTATTACTGTCAGCGTGACGCTCACCGATCGCCCAACCCCCACGTCCGTCACATCATCAATCTTCTATTTACACGTTTCGCGGAACTAATGGTCCATACAATATCCTTCCCCACAGACACGACCAAGTTCTAACCGAAAGCCGTATTTGCCACTACCGCATTGTATTCATCGTATTATCATCGCGTCTTCTTTATACACTGCCATAGACGTAAAACTTCATATGTAGTCCTCGTCTCTCGATCGTTCCCATAGAATCACTCGCGCGAGAGAAATCGTAGATTCGTGACAATCGGATTATCGCTGAAGTACGGATGGCGATATCTTTCTTTTATTTCTAGCGATATAGAGCGATATCTATGGGATACAAATAGAAATGTCGAACGACACGAATTGCATTTGTACCATCTCGTGTGTTCCTTTAATCTTTAAAACATTGTTATCGGCGATACGAATTGAAGAATAATGACTTTAAAAATTAGAAGTTTTATATTAAATTAGGTTAAGTTTAAACGACTGCAATTACTTTTCAACGTCAAACGATAATTAATATAATTATACGATATAATACATCAATTTTTATAATTAATTAATTACGTATTATATTATATTATATATTTTTTTAAATTAAGTTTCATTTGTCAGAAGGGATTGCTATTTTCTAGAAAATCGTAAAGGCGACGTGGACTTTTATTTTCTCTCGTCGTCGCTCGCGCAAACGCAAATCAGCGAACCGATCGTCGTAGATTTCGACTTGGAGATGTAGTCCTTAGCGGTTGCTCAAAGTTGTCCTGCTTCGTGAATTCTCGAGAGAGAGAGAGAGAGAGAAACACAACTCCCTCCCGTCGCGCGCGCAAACAAGATAGAATTAAATTGACTCGAAATACAGAGGAGAAACGGCGGGAATGACGGGAATCGATATAATACATCGGAGATTGTGTGACTTTTGACGGGTCGCGACACGCCTTGTCGATTTAACATCTTGAGGTTCGGCGATTGTAATCAGTATAATATAATACAACTGTTGTGAGATATAATAATAATAATAATAATAACAATATAATAATAATAATAGTAATAATAATAATAATAATAGTAATAATAATAATAATAATAATAATAATAATCACATACTTTATAGTCTCTTTAAAGAAGGAAAGAAGAAGAATGAAAAGAAGTGAGAAAAATTACAATTTCTTTTCGCCGACTCGCAAGATGTCTGGACTCTATGACACCGAATGAGCGTGCCTACTAAATATGCAGCTATTATGATGCATGTGATCGTCGACAGTGCAAACAGTTTGTATATAATAAGGCGAAGAGAAGAGGAGGGGGAGAGGGAAGGGGGGAGGTTTGTAGAGCTCCCCGATCGCTTTTTAGAAATAACTGGTAACGCGCGCTAAGAGATTTAAAAGAAATATATAAATATTAAAAATAAAAACGGATATGAGAGAGAGAGAGAGCGTGTTTTTTTGGCGCGAGACACGTATCGCCGATTATTACAGCGATAAGGGATAATTCCGTTAATCTAATATCCGTTGGTTGGCTCTCCTCCAGGAAGGCGTCGTTATGATTAGGGCAAGAAACAGATTTGGCCCGCCGCCCTAGAGGGGCTGCCGCGCTCTAGAGGATCGTGTTTGTTTGTATATAGCGAAACATTTATGTAGGTTTAGCGACAATCTCAATAGTGGATACACACACACACATATACACACACACACACGTCCAAAACGAACTCATGCAAACACGCCCATACGACACGCACACGACCGAGCAAAGTGCATGACGTGCATGCGCGTGCATTATTAATAACGCAGCTATCTTTAATCGACGGTATAACGATCATCTTACTACGACATGTAATTGCGATAATAACAACAATTATCATAATTACTATATTTTTTACTAATAAAGAGCATCCTTGGAGCCGAGGAAAGAGGTGGCTTTCTTTACATCAACGTGGACCCCCTTCGACAGATTTCAAGATTGGAACGAGAGAGCGGATTCGACGCGATAAATTAAAAATGAGAAGGACCGTTCTCCCCTGCCTTCCTCCATCCGACCTTTCCTTTCGTCGAGAATAAAAATTATAGGGGAGAAGATTTACGAGTCCGCTCGATGCTTAAACGCGGGCCAATTAAGCGGATCGAGCATTTCTTGGCGTCGTCGCTCAATGATTTATGCCACGATGATAATTCTTCAGTCGCCGTTTTAACGTCATTCGTAATTTCAGATACTTGCACTGAGAAAAAAATTTGGTTGTATTAATTAGAATTCTGGTAGATTCAACCAGTATGTCTGTTGGAAAATGGACGAACCAGAATTCTTGTAGGAATTACCAGATGAATCTGATTAATTTCTTCCTGTTAGATTTACCAAATCTTCTGGTTAATAATTACTATATGATTAATTAATATATGATTAGTTTAATATAACTAAATGATAAACTATATGACTAATTTAATAATATTTATCACACGCTTTAATATTTTAAAATTTATTGAATTTAATTTACAGGATTTCTTAATAATATGTGTAACAATATACTTAATTTTAAAATATAAATTATTTTAAATTATCAATGAAAATACTTTGAAGATATAAATTTTACGATTATTTTCTAATCTCTAAATGCTAGTATCTTACAAAATTTTTTTTTCATATCGTGATAAATTATTTTTCTAACAAACTTAAATTTAAAAAATTTGAATTTTTCAATTCTGAATTTTTAATTCGCACTGAGAAAAAAATCTGGTTGCATTAATTAGAATTCTGGTAGATTCAACCAGTATGTCTGTTGGAAAATGGACGAACCAGAATTCTTGTAGGAATTACCAGATGAATCTAATTAATTTCTTCCTGTTAGATTTACCAAATCTTCTGGTTAATAATTACTATATGATTAATTAATATATGATTAGTTTAATATAACTAAATGATAAACTATATGATTAATTTAATAATATTTATCACACGCTTTAATATTTTAAAATTTATTGAATTTAATTTACAGGATTTCTTAATAATATGTGTAACAATATACTTAATTTTAAAATATAAATTATTTTAAATTTATCAATGAAAATACTTTGAAGATATAAATTTTACGATTATTTTCTAATCTCTAAATGCTAGTATCTTACAAAATTTTTTTTTCATATCGTGATAAATTATTTTTCTAACAAACTTAAATTTAAAAAATTTGAATTTATCAATTCTGAATTTTTAATTCGCACTGAGAAAAAAATCTGGTTGCATTAATTAGAATTCTGGTAGATTCAACCAGTATGTCTGTTGGAAAATGGACGAACCAGAATTCTTGTAGGAATTACCAGATGAATCTGATTAATTTCTTCCTGTTAGATTTACCAAATCTTCTGGTTAATAATTACTATATGATTAATTAATATATGATTAGTTTAATATAACTAAATGATAAACTATATGATTAATTTAATAATATTTATCACACGCTTTAATATTTTAAAATTTATTGAATTTAATTTACAGGATTTCTTAATAATATGTATAACAATATACTTAATTTTAAAATATAAATTATTTTAAATTTATCAATAAAAATACTTTGAGGATATAAATTTTACGATTATTTTCTAATCTCTAAATGCTAGTATCTTACAAAATTTTTTTTTCATATCGTGATAAATTATTTTTCTAACAAACTTAAATTTAAAAAATTTGAATTTTTCAATTCTGAATTTTTAATTCGCACTGAGAAAAAAATCTGGTTGCATTAATTAGAATTCTGGTAGATTCAACCAGTATGTCTGTTGGAAAATGGACGAACCAGAATTCTTGTAGGAATTACCAGATGAATCTGATTAATTTCTTTCTGTTAAATTTACCAAATTTTTTGGTTAATAATTAATATATGATTAATTAATATATGATTAGTTTAATAATATTTATCACACACTTTAATATTTTAAAATTTATCGAATTTAATTTATAGGAATTCTTAATAGTATGTGTATAATAATATACTTAATTTTAAAATATAAAGTATTTTAAATTTATCAATGAAAATACTTTGAGGATATAAATTTTGCGATTATTTTCTAATCTCTAAATGCTAGTCTCTTACAAAATTTTTTTTCATATCGTGATAAATTATTTTTCTAACAAATTTAAATTTAAATAATTTGAATTTATCAATTCTGAATTTTTAATTCGCGCACTGAGAAAAACTCTGGTTGCATATTGGAATTCTGATAGGTTCAACCAGTATGTCTGTTGGAAAATGGACGAACCAGAATTCTTGTTATCAGAATTAATTCTTGTTAACAGAAATTACCAGATGAATCTGATTAATTTGTTCCTGACATACACAATCAGAGAGCTAGCGTCCTCTTTCTGACATTACTGCTCGTAAGAGAAAAAAAATATACTTTGGATTTAATGTTAATACTAGTTCTTTATATACATTTTATGGCAAATATTGAATACGAGTTAAGTTAAGAGTGGCTCGTCGCCTATTGGCAAGCAAAGAAATTAATGTAACAATAAATTTTATAGATCTAACCAGAAAATACTAACCAAATGCTTATAGTAAAATCTATTAAACGTTCTAGTTATACCAGTTCTAGTTATAAAAAATCAAGTCTTATCATGATAACTAGAAATTTTTGTTTGATTTAAAATGCCTTCAATCATATACGTATTGTTGGTACAATCAAACGATTTTTCTCAGTGCGTGTTCTCTGATTTATATAATTTTATTTTTTCCTCTTTTACATATTTTCGATTCATGCGCCTCAATCAGTATTTATAGCGATAAGCTCCTCGAAATGATTCTAGAGAAACCGCAAACATTTCTTTCGTAATACGCTCGTTGGAATTTTCTCTATTGTGCTTTGTTTCGCGGCACTCGAGACAAAAGAACAAGCGATAATAACCATGCTGGACCTCTTCGCACCTATTAAATGCCTCCTGCAAGAAGAATCCGTTCGTATTGACAATGTAGTCTTCAGACTGCACTCGCGTTTCACCGTCCTTCTGCTGCTCGTTTGCACCGTTCTCGTAACTGCCAAGCAGTACATCGGCGAACCGATTTCTTGCTTAACCGATGGTTCAATCGGTACGATATAATTCTGCTAACCTTTGGAGAAAGCATATATATTTAAAATTTCAAAATACATTAAAAAAATTTGACTCTTTTCTTTACAAGAAGAATGCAAAGATACAGATGTACCGTATGCTCGAAAATCATTTTTTAAATACATGTCTATTTCGAATCGTTTTATATCATTGCATCAGTCGGAATTACTTCTTATCAATAATAGATATCTCTTCTCAACAGACAAAGATCCTGTAAATGCGTATTGCTGGATCTATAGCACGTTCACGGTATCCCGACACCTGAAGGGTGTCCCTGGACGAGGTGTAGCGAGCGCTGGCGTAGGACAGGCTCTTCCAGATGACGAAGCCCGTCATCATCGATATTATCAGTGGGTCAGTCGAATTTAGAACACATAATATGGATGGAGAGATAATATGTACATAAATATAGATATAGATTATCGATAAATACGTCTATTAATAGAAGATTAAAGGTTCTACATATCAAAAAATAGACATACGTCGACAAATGTGTAACATGTATCCCTCTCTCTTTTCTCTCCACCGCGATTTAAAAATATTCACGTCAGTCTCACAAAATTTTTTCAAATTAAGTGTCTTTGAAAGCTATTAAATGACTGATTTTAAGTTTTCATCTTTTAAATCAAATATAATAGATTATTCTATTTTTAATGGAAAGAATTAGTTTAAAAATACACTAAATTATCAATTTGATATTTTATTAAAATATTCCTCATATAATACCAAAGTGTTATTAAAAGCTATTAAATGACCGATTTTAAGTTTTGATCTTTTAAATCAAATATAACAGATTTTATTCTATTTTTAATGAAAAGAATTAGTTAAAAAAAACACTAAATTGTCAATTTAATAATATTTTATTAAAATATTCTTTTATTCCTCATATAATACCTATATTATGGATTTTA